AGACAGCCAATAATTTGAATATAAATGTCATATATTTTGCTCAAGATATAAAAATTGTTGTACATTAGTGTACAGTACTGTAGTACATTTTATAAAAAAGATTTTCAACTGTATTTTTGGGTAGATTTACATTGATTTCTTCATTTATTTTCGTCCATTTACATGCACACACCATACTAAAAGAAACGTAATAGAAATAAATGACCTTAGTGCAAAGTTGGAGTGTACATGTACTAATTTGATTACGGTACTAAAATTGTTTTGTCTAGTGCAAATTATAGCATGTTTATATTCAAATTAATGAGTATCTTACAAGAATCCCAGCAATGTTAATTATATTCACCCAGGTCATTTTACTGGCTTTTTATAAGAGAGAAGCTTAGTTACTTAGGAACTGATAAATATACACGCGTTAGACCTGGGCCTGTGCCAACTGTCAAACGTACTTCCTCCCCTCCCCCCACGCCCCCTCGATCGCTCCCTCCCTCCCTCCTTCTTTCTCCCCCATCTGCCCGGTGTTGCTGGAATCCTTGTAAAACAGTGAATAATTTTAATATAAACATCATGTATTTTGCACAAGAGATAAAAATTAATCACCTGTATCACATTACAGTAGTGATTTAAGTGTAAAAGTGTATATGTACATATATAGTATTCCACATACACGTAAGTATAAATACGAAGTTTCTTTGATGATCGGACAACGTCCATTTCGGTTAACGTCATTTTTTCAAGAACGTATCTAGGACGTTAACCAGCGCATGACTGCATATACATATAAATATATATATATGTATATTCTTTATTTACGCGGTCAATTGAACCAATGGAGGTCCGCGTAAAACGAGAAATGCGTAAACGAAATAACAGAACATATGGGATTAATTGAAATAGAGACTGGGTCGACCCCCAAACTCCACTTTTTCCAACATAATACCTGCGTTGTAGTAAAAACATTATCTTAATTTTATGATGGTATGCACACACAATTAATATTTAAGAGAAATACAGTCGCTGGTTAATGTCCATTCAAGTACAGTGAACCCTCACTTTACGAGGTCAATTGAACCTATGGCGGCCCGCATAGAGCGAAAAACGCGTAAAGTGAACAACATAACATATGGGATTAATTGAAATAGAGACCGGGCCGACCCCCAAACTCCACTTTTTCCCGACACAATACTGTAGGTTAGGTTAAAAAAAAACAAGGTTAGGGTTATCACTTACGTTAGTAGAAGAGATGGGTCGGCGTACGGGAATGGAGGCTGGTTCCGAGGCAGAGGGCAGGCTACTGGCCCTCAGGTGAGTCTTCATCGCTGTCATCCACACTTATTAGTGCCTCCCCGACAAATCCCTCAAAGTCACCATCACTGTCTCTCTCTGTCACTATCAGTGGCTTGGGCTGGCTGTGGTGGGTTGCGGGCGAAGAACTCGGTAATGCTTTGCTGACGCCTGGTGTTGATGTTGTCGTGATACACCTTGATGTAGGGCTCCATAGTCTGCAACAGCTGGGTAGTGAAGATTTCATACCTGTTAACGTCAGGGTTGTCGGAAAGGAGGAGCTTGACTTTCTCGATACACTCGATGGCACCCCTAACATTACTATGGGATAAGCAGCGTTTTTCTTGGGATGACGCACCACCTGCCTCTTCACTGACGTCATCATCATCTACCATCTCGTCGGTAGTCACATCAGGATCCCTTATCACCTCCAGGATGTCGTCGTTGGTGGTCTCGGAGAAGCCTGCAGCTGTAACACTCTGCACAGCTTCTCTGGCAAGGTCCACTGCTACTGCAACAGTCTGAACCTCACCAGTCACAGATTGACTCTGCCTAACGGCTGGAATGCCTTGCAACACATGTCTCCATGCGTGACGAACAGTTGCTACAGACAGCTGATCCCATGCCTCCCCCAAGAAGTCCACAGCTTTCTTGATGTTGAATATTCTCCAGAATTGTTTTAAAAGTACTTGTTGCTCTGCCAACTGTTGATCCTCGTCGTCTTCGCTCTTGCTATCGGTGTTGATGTCACTCAGGTTACGCAACTCTTCCCTGGTGTTGGTGTAGTCGTTCAGGAGCTTGAATTTTTTAGTAGAGAATGCAGCTTTTACATTACAGATTAACTCTTGGTCCATGGGCTGTAATATAGACGTAGTGTTGGGAGGAAGGAAGAGCACTTTTACGTTGGGGTGACGATCTAACAGTAGGGGCGAGTGTCCTGGCGCGTTGTCAAGCAGCAACAAAATCTTGAATGGAACATTCTGTTGCTCACAGAATTTCTTCACGTCAGGAACGAAACAGTCATCAAACCAGGAGAGGGACAGAGTAGAGAACATCCACGCCTTACGTGCGGTCAGCCAGTGGACATTTAGCTTGGTCATGTCCATGCTCTTGTAGGCGTGCGGCTTGCGTGCTGTGTGGATCACCAATAACTTTAGCTTACAGGTACCGGAGGCATTGGTGGTAAACAGGACGGTGATGTGCTGTTTCTGCAACTTCCGGCCCCGACACTTGCTGGCATTCCTCACAACGAAGGTCTTGGAAGGTAGGTTTTTCCAAAAAAGACCAGATTTGTCCATCTTAAACACCTGGTCATCGGTGTACTGTCCTTCCTCCATAATCTCACGTGAAAATGGAGGAAAATCTCTAGCCGCAACACGGTCAGCACTAGCTTCTTCACCACCAATGTTCATGTTGGTGATCTTGTTCCTCTTCTTAAATCTCTGCAACCATCCAGAGGAAGCTTTGAAGCGTTTGGGCTCTGCAATTCCCATCTTACGTGACACTGCAGCATACAGTTCACGTATGTACTTCTTAACTGAGCGCGTGTCCACCGCCATGTTCCATCGCGCCTGACGAATCAAGTAGTTCACAAGTAATTTCTCCGTCTTGAGAAGCACCTGGTTGTGGCAATACAGTACTTGATCATAGAATCACCTGTAGACTTTGTGATGTTCATGTGCTCCTTTATCTTGGCTGCATCCTTCTTAATTGTCCGGATCGTAGATTCGATAACACCATGCTGGCGCGCGAGATCAACCTGTCTTGTTCCTTTCTCCAACTCTTTGGGTTAGGGCAGCTGGGTCCAGGTAATGCAAGGTTTCTTTGTGGTGGTGGTGGTGGTCCGGTGGAAGCCATTCTTATGGAACAATGGATACCGATATACACTGTGTAGCCGGGAGGGGTGTAACTGACGCGGGTAGGTCTAGGGGCTAGAACGCTTCTGCGGCGGGGCACGTCATAGTACATTAAACCAATCACAGTTAGCGGGGCAGGGAGGCAAGGATGCTTGGCCCACTGACAGTCCGATACGTCATATGACGTCACCGATAACACAACAAAGATATACACTGCGCAACCTACTCGCGCCGCTTACCCAACATGGCAAAATGGTGGGAGAGATGGCGGGAGGTTTGAATCCATAAATGGTGCGGCGCGAGAGGATCGCCAGCCGCTCTCCACGTAAAGGGGTACATGCTCCGCGTAAAGTGAGCAATTCCGTGTTCGGTAGGGTACCGCGTAAACGTGGAAACGCGTAAAGTGAAACCGCATAAAGCGGGGTTTTACTGTAATGGATTCAACCCTCTTCCCACGCTCGCTGGCTCCTCCCTCTATGAGAAATGTTTGGTGAAAAAACACTAGGCTTACATGTTTAGTAATAAATAATACCTCAGACTAAAGTTAGGATAATATAATTGACATTGCTGGATTCCTTACAAGACTGCCAATAATTTGAATATAAACGTCATATATTTTGCACAAAAGATAAAATTTTTGCTCTTTCTAATAAAATTCTTAAATTACGTACATCTAAAATTTGTATGTCTAATGCAAATTTTAGGATTTTTATATTTAAAATAATCACCATCTTATAAGAATTCTAGCAATTTAAATTATATTCTGGCTGGGTAATTTCTTTGAATTTTATGAGCTAAAAACACATATCTTCAGGAAGAAAACAAATTATACTTCACCCGCGTAAATGATGAAATTTACCGCATAATTTAAACATTTCATTCTGGCAAGGTGCCGCTTAAATGACCAAACACGTAAACAAAATCCGCGTAAATCCAGACTATACTGTACTGTTTACGATTTTCTTTGTCCCAATTATACACATGCTAGTTTGAATATCATGTAGCTATCTCTCTTCCTACTCTTATGCTCGTTCACAAAAACTTTTGGGCTCCCACCCTGGGTTTTCTAATTGCTCTCAGCATGTAGGCCAGAGTTGAGTTTTTCTCTTCATAACTTTATTTTATTGATGTCCTCAGTAGCGGGTTCAGCCCTTCCAGATGAACTTTAGCGAGGCTGCTTGACTTAGTGTTCCTTCCGGAATGCTGACCTCCCGGTCTTACTAGCAATCTAGAGTTATGTTGACATGGATTTTGCATCCATATATGGGTTATATGAGAACCATTCAGGGTGGAATTCTCAACCCAATAAATATTGCTATAGTAATAGTGAACGATGTTGCCAATAGAGCTCTATTTTAGCGGCTCAGCACTGTCAACCCTGCCAGGTGATAGTACTCACTCAGGCATTATCGCTCAAGCTAATTAATTAGGGGATAATGTCTGTGCCCCTGATTGGCAACAAATAGAGAACTTGATGAGCCCTCTAAATAAAATGCTCTAAATGAAATTTGTTTATGTAAAAAAATAAATAAATAAAAAAAATAAAAAAATAAAAAAAATAAATAAATAAATTCATTGAGCTAAGGGATACTTGAGTTAAGAGTGGGGAGATGGATACGACATAGTGAGTTAATTGTTTATAATTGTCAAATGAGTGACTTATATAACAATAAGAGATCTTAATGAATTAACTTACTAATAATATAACAATTATGAGTCATATTAATTAGGTTTGGGAGAAAATGTTTTCTCCCTTATATTTTTATAATGATATAATGTGACTCATAGTGTTCCTCCTAGTTTAGATGAGTGATGTGCATTTAGTATTAACTTCTGTTTCAAAAAGTCTTTGTAGTCACATACCTGCCATAGTTTTGGTAGAACTGAAATGAAACTACAAGCAAGTTGAGAAGGAAATTGTCAGGTCGGTTATGAAAGTCTTCACGCATTTTTTCCATAACTTGGAGGTTGAGTTCCTTCTGTCTCCTCTCCCATTGTACAACTGCTGATGTGCCTGCACCTGCATCCACTACCTCACCTATAGTTCCCTGTGAAAAATAATATTACATTATTTTAAACCTCTTACTTATCTCTGTTGTTTTGTAAAATTCACCTTGCACCAGTGTATTAGCAATGACCATCTTTCTTAAAACGTTACAAAAATGTCATTCTGACAAATCATTTATGTCTGTATGGGCTATATGGAAATGAACCATGATATTCCAGAACATATGAGTCCCACATAAGGATGCCAACCATGTCACATTACCGATATTCATGTGCTTGAAAAGCTTGAAAAAATTTCCATTGATGTAGTGATTGTTTCTAATTGCCAGTGAGTCATTAGGTTAGGAATATTACACAATAAAATCCCTGCAATTTTCTTGAACTGCATAGACTAAACTGTTGGTTTACAGGGATTCAACTTCCACTGCTGCTTCTTGTGTCAGATAGTAACACTGACTCTCCCCACAGTTCCCAAACCAGCTTGACTACACCCTTCTCCCCCCCCCCCCTTTTTTCTTAGTGATTGATTTAATGCAAAGTTTTTATAATTGCCTATTTTATCAATATTGTGGCAGCCACATACAGTAGTTTATACAGTGTTAGGTTATTTCATGATGAAAAGTTTATATACTTTTACTTATATCCTCTTTGCCACTGATTGGCTCGTTAACTGCTTGAGGGGTCGATCACGTCTCTGTTATGCACTGTTGGCAAATATTGGGCATGTACTGGCTCCTGAATGTATCCAAAAAAGTTTGCCCTCACTGTTTTCTGGACTTGCAGCTTCTTCAACCTTAAGCTGTGATGCCTTGTGGGGTGGGTATCTGCCAGTTCCAGGTATAGACACTTGACTGAGTAGTACTCCCTGAGATATTTATAAACTTCAATTAGGTCACCCCTTGCTCATCTATGGTATAAGCTAGGCAGTTGTAGGTGTTCTGATCTCTCTGGGTAGCTTTTGTTCAGAAGTGCAGGCACCAGTCTCGTGGTCCCTTTGGATATCTTCAATCAACTGACAGTCTCTAGCATATCTCGAGGAGTAGACGGGGTGACAATACTCCAGGCGTGAAAGCACCTCACTCTTGAAGAGTGTTATAATGGACAGCCTGTCTAGATATCTGAACGACCTTCTTATGAGGACTAATAGCCTAGTTGCTTGATTCACCTTCTTCTCACAATGACCTGAGAACTTCAGTTCATTGTCAACATCAAATCCAGGTCCTTTTCACATTCAGTGTCTATTAATGCTGTTACTTCATCCTGTTTGGGATATGTGATATACTTCCTTACTGTATGACCTCGGTGCAATCTCTTGCACTTCTTGACAGTGAATCTTAATAGCCATATGTGACCAACTTCAAAGTCTTCTTTGCATATGATTTAATCTCAATGTACAGTAGCAGTTTAACCTATTGAATATTATAAATATTAAAAGTTTTAAAGAGCCTGCTCTGACCTGAATGAAATGATTGTTTATCATGTCATTGCAAATTAATGAAAGCCTCATGTCAGAAAATAAAACCTAGGAAACCCATACACGAGTGGAAGTACGTATTAGCATTTATGATGAGAGGAATTTGACAGCTTCACCATAAACTTTCTTACAGTGTTTTAATGCACCCCCATATTTTATTTTTTATTCAGTGTTTTACCATCCAAACCTCTCTGGAGACCTATTCTTCTTGATTCAACTGGTTTCTTATTAAAAATTAAATATTAGTTTTAATCATGGACATTCCCTGTACAATACAGTATTTTAATTGAAAATTGCCATTTACTTGTAACAGCTATTCAGTTACTTTTTGTGATCTTCTCTCATATAAACTGAGTCGAGTCTAGTTTATCATAATAAGATTAAACAGAATGACATAGGCAGGTGAGACACAAGTGAGCAGACACAGGCAGGTGAGACACAAGTGAGCAGACACAGGCAGGTGGGACACAAGTGAGGCAGACACAGGCAGGGTTGAGCAGACACCAGGTGGGCAGGTGGCGACACAGGCAGGTGGACACAAGGAGCAGACACAGGCAGGTGAGACACAGAGTGAGCAGACACGGGCAGGGAGACAGTGAGGCAGACACAGCCTGAGCAGACAGGAGGTGAGACACAGAGTGAGCAGACACAGGCAGGTGAGACACAGACAGTGAGCAGACAGGCAGGCAGGTGAGACACAAGTGAGCAGACACAGGCAGGTGAGACACAGTGAGCAGGTGAGACACAGGGCAGGTGAGACACAGAGTGAGCAGACACAGGCAGGTGTGAGACACAAGTGAGCAGACACTGGGCAGGTGAGACAGCAGAGACAGGCAGGTGAGACACAAGTGAGCAGAGACACAGGCAGGGTGAGACACAAGTGAGCAGACACGGGCAGGTGAGACACAAGTGAGCAGATGCAGGGCAGGTGAGGACACAAAGCAGATGAGGCAGACACAGGCAGATTGGTGAGACACAAGTGAGCAGACACAGGCAGGTGAGACACAGAGTGAGCAGACACAGCCAGGTGAGACACAAGTTGCAGGCAGACACAGGCAGGTGAGACACAAGTGAGTGACACAGGCAGGTGAGACCGGAGAGATGGGGTGAGAGTGAGCAGATACAGGCGGGTGAGACACAAGTGGTGAGCAGATGCAGGCAGGTGAGACACAAGTGAGCAGACACAGGCAGGTGAGACACAGAGTGAGCAGACTGGGCAGGTGGGGCCAGTGAGCAGACACGGGCAGGTGAGACACAAGTGAGCAGACACAGGCAGGTGAGACTGAGCAGATACTGGCTGGAGGCACAAGTGAGCAGACACAGGCAGGTGAGACCTGGGATTAGCAGACACAGGCAGGTGAGACACAAGTGAGCAGACACAGGCGGGTGAGACACAAGTGAGCAGATGCTGGCAGGTGAGACACTAGTGAGGCAGACACAGGCAGGTGAGACAAAGTGAGCTGACACAGGCAGGTGGGGAACACAAGTGAGCAGACTGAGACAGGCAGGGCAGGTGAGACACAAGTGAGCAGCAGACACAGAGTGAGCAGGGGTGAGGCACACAGAGTGAGGCAGGTGAGACACAAGTGAGCAGATGCAGGCAGCAAGAGTGAGCAGATACAGGCAGGTGAGACACAAGAGTGAGCAGACACAGGCAGGTGAGACACAAGTGAGCAGATGAGACAGGCAGGTGAGACACAAGTGAGCAGAGCAGATACAGGCAGAGTGAGACACAGAGTGAGCAGACACAGGCAGGTGAGACACAAGTGAGCAGATGCAGACAGGTGAGACAAGTGAGCAGAGTGAGACAGAGTGGGGCAGTGACAGACACAGGCAGGTGGAACAAAGGAGCAGGATGCAGGCAGGTGAGAGACACAAGTGATGCAGGCAGGTGAGACACAAGTGAGCAGATGCAGGCAGGTGAGACACAAGTGAGCAGTGCAGGCGGGTGAGACACAAGTGAGGCAGATGCAGGCGGTGAGACACAGGTGAGCAGATACAGGCAGGTGAGACACAAGTGAGCAGACACAGGCAGGGTGGGACACAAGTGAGCAGATGCAGGCAGGTGGAGACACTGTGATACAGGCAGGTGAGACACAAGTGAGCAGATACAGGCAGGTGAGACACAGGAGCAGATACAGGCAGGTGAGACACAAGTGAGCAGATACAGGCTGGCGAGGACACAGTGAGCAGATGAGCAGGGCAGGTGAGACACAAGTGAGGCAGACCACAGGCAGGTGAGACACAAGGGAGGCACACACACAGGCAGGTGAGACACAAGTGAGCAGACACAGGCAGGTGGAGACCTGAGCAGACACAGGCAGGTGAGACACAAGGCCCACACAGGCAGGTGGGACACAAGTGAGCAGATAAGGCTGGTGAGACACAGTGAGCAGATACAGGGAGGTGAGACACAAGTGAGCAGATACAGGCTGGTGAGACAAGTGAGCAGATACAGGAGGTGAGACACAAGTGAGCAGACACAGGCAGGTGAGAGCACAGAGTGAGCAGACACAGGCTGGTGAGACACAGAGTGAGCAGATCGGCTGGTGGACACAAGTGAGAAGACACAGGCAGATTGAGACACAAGGTGAGGCAGACACAGGCAGGTGTGGAGACACAAGGGAGGCACACACAGGCAGGTGAGACACAAGTGAGCAGATACAGGCTGGTGAGACAAGAGTGAGCAGATACAGGAGGTGAGACCTGAAGTGAGCAGACAGACACAGGCAGGTGAGGGGAGCAGATGTCAGGCAGGTGAGACACAGACACAGGTGAGACACAAGTGTGGGACACAAGTGAGCAGACACAGGCAGGTGTGCACAGGCAGGTGTGAGCAGATATAGGCAGGTGAGACACAAGTCAGCAGATACAGGCAGGTGAGACACAAGTGAGCAGACACAGGCAGGTGAGACACAAGTGAGCAGACACAGGCAGGTGAGACACAAGTGAGCAGACACAGGCAGGTGAGACACAAGTGAGCAGACACAGGCAGGTGAGACACATGTGAGCAGATATAGGCAGGTGAGACACAAGTTAGCAGACACAATGCAGGTGAAACACAGGTGAACAGACACAGGTTGGTGAGACACAAGTGAGCAGACACAGGCTGGCGAGACACAAGTGAGCAGATGCAGGCAGGTGAGACACAAGTCAGCAGACACAATGCAGGTGAAACACAGGTGAACAGACTATTACTATTAGGTACTTTTAATTTTAGTTTTGCTTTATTATATTACGATTGTTAGTACCATAATTGTCATCTATTACTATTACTGTACTATTAATTTTGGTCACGAAATATACACGATCAACAAAGCAAAGCCCCACACTTGGAGCCTCGCGTTTTAGGAACTATGGTTGCCACAAAGTATTTTTCTTGCAAAATCATCAGTATGTTCCGATCTTATCTACATTATGCAGTAATATTTCCTTGTGAATAATGAAATAATACAGATATCCAGGGATTTTTTGTGTGTTACAAACAGGCAAGTTATGGATGGTTTTTGTTATTCCCTTGTCAAAGCAAACTGTTGAATGACATCAGAAATTCAGTAATTCTAAGAAAATTTCCGACAACCTAAGAGTTAAAAATAAGTGTATCTGTAATAGAAAAGTAATTGACTTTTCTCTATTGCTTTGCCTTCTAATATTATTACAGTACAGTAAAAAAAATAATGATATAATACTAGTACATTAAAAACCCTGTAATTACTATTACACCCATGTCTGGATACAAGTAACATACACAGGCAGATGTGGCACAAGTAACATACACAGGAAGATGTGGCATAAGTAACATACACGGGCAGATGTGGCATAAGTAACATACACAGGCAGGTGTAGCATAAGTAACATATACAGGCAGGTTGTCACACAAGTAACATACACAGGTGTGGCACAAGTAACCTACACATGCATGTGTGGCACAAGTAACATATACAGGCAGGTGTGGCACAAGTAACCTACACAGGCAGGTGTGGTGCAAGTAACCTACACAGGCAGGTGTGGCACAAGTAACATATACAGGCAGGTGTGGCACAAGTAAAATACACAGGCAGGTGTGGCACAGACAACATATACAGGCAGGTGTGGCACAAGTATCATACACATGCAGGTGTAGCACAAGTCACATACACAGGCAGGTGTGGCACAAGTAATGTATACAGGTGTGGCACAAGTAACCTACGCATGCAGGTGTGGCACAAGTAACATACAGGCAGGTGTGGCACAATAAACCTACACAGGCTGGTGTGGCACAAGTAACATACACAGGCAGGTGTGGCACAAGTAACATACACAGGCATGTGTAGCATAAGTTACATATACAGGCAGGTTGTCACACAAGTAACATACACAGGCAGGTGTAGCATAAGTAACATATACAGGCAGGTTGTCACACAAGTAACATAAACTGGTGTGGCACAAGTAGGGTAAGTTGTTTCACACCATGATATTTTATGGAGGTCTGGGATTGAGAGGGGCACTTGGGGGTGGTCTTTGTAGCTCTGGGTGTCTTAAGTTGTATATCTGGTTATTCCGGAACTAGAAATAATTATGGTAAATTTTTCTTGTTGCACATTTCACTTGTAGCAAGTTAAAAATATATTTTTCTATTGTATTTGTGTGTGCTGAGACCGAATATGACCTTCCTTTTTGGCGGAAATTAGCCTTTTTTTTTTTAGCGGTTTTTTTTCGTTTGACGTTTTCCGAGAAAAAAAGTGCCTAAGTGACTAAAAAATACACAATAAAACACTAGAAAAACAATAACCAAACCTAACCTAACCTGACCTGACCTGACCTGACCTAACATAACTGACTCTCACCATATGATGGAATCACCTATTTCTTACCTTATTGGCCTGGTTCTTGTTCGTCGTTGGATTCTGGGATTCTTACACAACGCCACATATGTTGGTCTTTGCGATATTTACATTCAGTCTTGCTCTTAGTACACTTTACTGAGGTTGGAAGAACACCATGCGATCGAAAAAAATGCTATAGTTTCTTCGTTTTTTTCCCAAAAACTTGCAATCAGCTCCATATGCTTTAAGTGACACCCATCGCTGACTTCCATGGTCGGAACTGAACTTGAATTTCAAAATATGAGAGACCAAAAAGAATACTCGAATTTGATTGGGCCAAAAATACCGCGAATTAAACCCAAAAACATTTTAATTGGTTTCAAAATAAAAATGGCTTTTGATTGGCCTTGTGACGTGTACAGCAATGCATGCGCAGGATGATTTATGAAGGGGATGCAGGAGACACGCAGTGTTGGCGGAGAGGCAGATGTTAATGGCGGGATGTTAATGGAAGAAAATAGAAAATATTTTGGAAGAGTTATCACCGTTATTATACATTTCCGCCGGTAATGTAATATATGACAATTATCTTATAATTAGACGTCTTATTCCAATATGATAGGCTAATAGATTGGTGGTAGGAATGAACGGTACTACAAGAAAATATTACCATAATTATTGTCAGGCAAGTGATTGACCGATTTGTAAACAAATATGGCACAGCAGTATGTGTTAATATCCTCGAATTTAAAAATTTTCAATTTAGCAAATTGTTTGTTAGTGTGATCATTTTTTTTTTCCAAGTAGGTCATTGTCTGCTCAACTCTACTGTGCAGTAATTAGGGATTGTGTTTTTGAAGAGCCTGAGGCCCCCATAGTGTGTGACAGTGTTTCAGGTGTTGGTAAACAAGATCATAATAGATTTCATTGCTGTAAGAGCGAGTGACTGATGAGTGTGATACAGGATACCGCACTGTTTATTGACTTTATTGTGAATGGTTTGTATGTGGTTTCTCCAGCTAAGTTTGTCATCAACAATAACCCCAAGGAATTTAGTATTTAATTCACGTTTGAGGACTGTATTACTAAAGTTACAGGGGATCCAAATCTGGGGGTGACACAATAAACCTACACAGGCACGTGTGACACAAGTAACATACACAGGTAGATGTGATAAAGGTTGGTGTACCAATATTTTGAGCTAAACATACTGTGACTGGCATGACGTTGTTGGTTTCATCAGAGAAGCGTTGTTTACCCTTGTGGCAGCAGTTTCCCATTCTGGATAAGTTGTTCTAGTTGCCAGCTCCAGCCCTGTGTGTTGTATAAAAAAACAAAATAGAGTTTACTTAAGTGGCAGTCACATTTGTTACTGAAACTGCTGGATCCAGTAATAGCACTGGTTTTCCGACCAGCCATCCTTTGGTATATGTTAATTTGGGAGGTTTGGGCAAGACCATCTTCATTGGGTGATTAGAAACAGTGGTGGGCACAGCTAAACGAAAAGTTAGCATCGCTAACCGCTAATTTGCTAACTAAAAAGTTGACTTCGTTAACGCTAAACCGCTAAACGGCTAAAAAAATTAGCGGAAGCTAATGCTAACCGCTAACTTTTATTATATGAATTAAGCTTCGACTTTTTGTTGGGGGCTCTAAAACCCTTAAAAACAGACCTAGAGAGCTGAAATTTTCAAATACTTTTTTACTTTTATCCTCTTCGCCACTGATCGGCTTATTAGCCGCTTGGGCTATCGGTCACGTCTCTTTTCATTTATATTCTTCACCAAAAGATCGGCTCGCTAGCCGCCCGGGCGATCGGTCACGTCTCTGTCACGCACTGTTGGCAAATACTGGGCATGCACTGGCTCCTGAATGTACCTGAACCCGCTCCAGTGTTGGTCAAGTCTTCTCTTGAAAGAGCTCACACTCGGTGCCGTCACAACACTCTCTGGTAGATTGTTCCAAGAGTTTACAACCCTCACTCCGAAAAAGTTTGCCCTCACGGTTTTCTGGACTTGCGGCTTCTTCAATCTTGAGCTGTGACCCCTTGTGGGGCGAGCGTCCGCCAGCTCCAAGTAAGGACACTCAACTGAGTAGTGCCCCTGAGATGCTTATCCACCTCAACTAGGTCGCCCCTGCCCGTCTGTAGTATAAGCTAGGCAAGTTCAGGCGCTCCAATCTCTCAGGGTAGCTGAGGTGCCGAAGTGCAGGCACCAGTCTGGTGGCCCTCCTTGAACATTTTCAACCAACTGACAGTCCCTAGCATATCTCGGGGACCAGATGGGGTGACAGTACTCCAGATGGGGAAGCACTTCACTCCTGAAGATCGTCACGAGGGACGGACCGTCTAGATATCTGAACGACCTTCTTATAAGACCCAATAATTTATTTGCCTGATTTACCTTCTTCTCACAATGGCCCGAGAACTTCAGCTCATTGTCAACATACACACCTAGGTCCTTCTCTCACACAGTCTCAACTAGTGCAGTTTCTTCATCCCGTTGGGACATATGATACCCCTCCTTACCGTTGGTACGCCCCAGGTGCATCCTCTTACACTTCGTGACATTGAATCTCAGCAGCCATATTTTCGACCATTCCTGGAGCCCACAGAGGTCCTTCTGCAGCTCTTCACAGTCCGCTTGGTTCTTAATTTCCCGAAATAACTTGGCGTCATCGGCAAACATTTGTATGGAGGAGTGTACAACGTCAGGCATGTCATGTTGTCTTGTAGCTTAGACATAGAGCTTTCCAAAAAGGTATAGCATGCCAAGATCAGATGATGATCAAGGTGTACACAAATAATTAAATGAACAAATGAAATTAAACATTAGTTCACATTCAAGTTTCAACATACACTTTATAATCTTTATTTACTGTACAAAAAGACAGAAAGTATTTAATGAATCCAAAAACTATAGTACTTTATAGCATAGGTAGCAAATAGCATCATGCCAAGATCAGATGATGATCAACTTATCAAGGTGTACACTGTACACAATTTCACAAATAATCAATTTGCATTCATTCTCATACAACCTATCGGCCTTATTCATTATTCATGTAAATATGCAATACCAACCACATACACATAATACCAGTGCATTTTTATATAACTTATTGTTGGTCTTAGTCATGTAAATAAACAGAAAACTCTAAACTTTAATGAAAAGTAAGTTTTTAGAAAATTTTGTTTGGCGCACACCTTGGATAACATCTTGGTTATTAACTGATGCAGTACTTAGCATAACCAAATATATTGAAAAAAATCCTAATTAAATTAACAAATAAATGAAAAATGAAATTATACATTAGTTTACAATTACGTTCTATGATTCTTTCAACATACACTGACAGTCTTTATTTACTGTAAAAAAAAAGTATTAAACTTTAATAATCAAAATATTCCATTCACGTTTACACGTACTAACACGCAGCCAGCCAAGCGTGCCTGTCTAGCTGTTGGAGACACACGTCACACGCTTACAACAGACAAGAACAAACATGCATAAATTTTGTTTGCGGAACTAACTTTAGCGGAAGCTAATTGGTCCACTAATGGTTCCAAAGTTAGCGAGAACGCTAATCCGCTTGCGAGAAAGTTAGCTTTGCTAATTAGCGGTTAGCGGAACCGTGCCTACCACTGATTAAAAATATTAAGAATCTGTTGTATCCTTATTATTGAATTATCACACCCCCATAGAACCTGATCTAACCAACCAAAGAAACCTACCATAAACATAGGGTTGTTTTCCCAGTCAGTGAGAGCAGCATGTTTTCTATTGACGAGTGTTTCATCAAACCAATGCTGGTGTTTTCCTTTGAACTTGTCGAGGGTCTCCTTGCATAGTTTTGCGATGACAGCTTTGATGATGGAACCCCCATTTAGCACTCAGATTTTAATTATTCATTGATGAGTTGTTTTTCAACCCATGTTTGAGTTGCTCTCTGAAATAATGTGCTACCACTGGATTCTCAAGTCATTTAGTATTAAAACCTCTTCTGGAAGCTTGTTGCCTTTGCCGTTTTGGGGCAACGTGAAGTGAGAACTTGGCACTGACGAGCCGAGGAACAGTGTTGCATTGGTCTGAGCCACGCTTGGCTCGGGTGATGAGGACATCTCGGCAATCTCTTTTTCTGACAATGACGTAGTCAATGAGACGCCAGTGTCGGTGATAGTGAGAAGGAACAGGCCGTTGGAACTACACTTGCCTACTCAGTTTCTCCCTATGGTTCCCTGACATATGTTAGCATCTCTGCCAACTCTGGCATTGCTGTCATCTAGCACAACCTTGTCTTCTCTGGGGATAGAGGTTAGCACTGTCAAGGTTGGCATAAAAGGCCTCCTTGATGTCATCCTCTGCATCCAGTGTTGGGGCGTATGCATTTGATGAAGAAGGCATAATGTGAGTGATTCAGTGGGACTTTGTTGATCCCAACAGGCATTTCAGTTAGCCTTTGTAGGATGGATTGGCGAATGGCAAAGCCAACTCCGTAAATGCGTTTTCTTTCCCCAGCACGCTTACCTTTCTAGAAGAAGGTATTGCCAGACTCGCGTTCTGTGAGTTGACCCTCGCCTGGGAGTCAGGACTCGCTAATGGCTGCTATGTCGATGTTATACCTAGCCAGCTCTTTTGCCACAAGGACGGTTCTTCTTTCAGGATGCTGATTTGTGCCAGTATCCAGAAGGGTCCTGATATTCCATGCAGTGACCATAAGAGGTTGTATAATTTATTTTTATTTTTTGATCTGTGATTGTGATTGTTTTTGAGTGCAGAAGGATGACCTTGCTGGGTGTGGTTGCCCAGACGGGTTGTTTTTTTTTAGGCAGGCTATGTTTAGGGCACCTTTTCTAGCTCTCTCCCCATGTGGGGTGAGCAGAGTGGCTCCTGGAAAGGGCTGCTCACTTGCACAGACAGAACTGAATTGCACTGCTGTCTAGATCCTAGATCCCAGTCATCTCTGCCTGTCCCCATCGTCACTTGTCCGTCACCATAGGACTTTTGGGGGTATAGGGGTTTTGATGAAGATGAGAGGTATGATGAGCTGGATGATGGCTGCTCGTGAGTTGATTTATGTGGTGAGGTAGGAGTGCAGGCTGCAACCACACATCTTGGCTCTCCCTTTTCCTGATCCAGTGGTGCAAGTGGTGCAACGACTTGGGAGAGTTGCAATGGACTGCCGTTAGCCCAGTTTGTTGGGTTTCGCCTTAGTAGCCTGTCCATCAGGCATTGCCTTCGTCCGCCGGTGTAGTCGTTGGGTTTCCATGGTGGTGACCTCACCTCTTTCGCGCCTACTGCCGTTTGGGGCTTGTTGGAGCTCTGTAAGCATGTCTGCCTGATGAGGGGCTCCACCACAGATTTTTTGTTCGGGGTTTACTCCCGTAGCCTTTTTCCTACCAAGGTTAATCCGCAAGGCAGCGGGGAAATGGTTGGTAGGCGCCAGAACGTGTCCACATACCAGTGAGCTTATGTGCTGTCCCTCTGGGGTCCACTGCTACTCCGAGATCCCCTACTGGTGTAGCCTGGGCACATGAGGTACCCAGTTACCGTGTGTTGCCACGAGGAGGCACAACAGGAGTCATGATGGTGAAGAGGCTGTGTACTGGCAGGAGAAGACTTGTGCAAGTTGCTTCCCTGTTTGCCACGAGGGTTAGCCACCGGCGGTAGCTGAAAGCGAGAGGGAGCAAGCATTGCTGGCACCTTAACACTAACATAGTGCTGCCACACCCAAAGACCACCCACCCCACCCTAGGACCACCCCACCCTAGGACCACCCACACCACCCCACCCTAAGACCACCTGCCCCACCCCACCCTAGGACCACCCACACCACCCCACCCTAGGGCCACCCACACCACCCCACCCTAAGATCATCCCCTCCACCCCACCCTAGGACCACCCACACAACCCACCCTAGGACCACCCACAACCCCACCCTAGGACCACCCACACCAATCCACCCTAGGACCACCCACACCAGCCCACCCTAAGACTACCCATCACCACCCCACCCTAGGACTACCCATCACCACCCCACCCTAGGACCACCTACACCAACCCAATCTAGGACCACCCACACTACCATCCCACACTGCCATCCCACACTGTCCCACCCTAGGATCACCTTTTTACTTCTTTTTACTTTTATCCTCTTCAACACTGATTGGCTTGTTCGCCGTGATCCTGTCACGTCTCTGTTATGCACTGTTGGTAAATACTGGGCATGCACTGGCCCCTGAATGTATCTGAACCTGCTCCAGTGTTGGTCAAGTTTGGCCTTGAAAGAGCTCGCTCTTGGTGCCGTCACAACAC